GAGATTGATTACCTAGGGTTTCGCATCAATGATACCGGCATACAGATGGACCCGAAAAAAGTCGAAGCTGTGCTAGAGTGGCAGGCCCCACAAACACGAAAGCAGCTGCAGAGCTTTCTCGGGTTCGCGAATTTTTACCGTCGATTTATCCCGTCGTTTGCTAAGACGGTATTACCCCTCACGGACCTCTTACGAACAAAAGGGGTCATGAAACCTGGCACAAAGCCTAAACCGGGATACAAATTGCCATGGACCTCCACCTGCCAAAAGGCGTTTGAGGAGCTCAAGCGCCTGTTCGCCAAAGAACCCATGCTGAAACATCCGGATACGTCACAGACATTCGTAGTACAAGCGGATGCCAGTGACGTGGCTGTGGGGGCTGTTCTTCTGCGGATGACGTCATCGCTGCGCGCGGTTAGAATGGACAGCTGCGGGAGATTTGACTTAACCCAGCTGATAGCGCTCAGCGCTTCTCCTATAAAGGATTCCGGCGCCGGCTCCCAGCAGCCGCGTCTTTACTTGTATTTACATTCCGGTCTCCACCGAGAGCTGTTGTCACTGAATAGAACCAAGAGACTCCGATCCTTGAACTCGTGTGCTTCTTGTGTCCTGGTGTTCCGGCTTCAGGGGAGGCCGAGATCTGGATCATAAATCTCCTTTCTCAAATCTGGGTCATAACTTCAAATGATCACTAAGCAACCAGCTGTACGTCGAGGACCATTTCTACTGCTTCTCCCCAGTGTAGCACCTACTCCAGTGGTGGAATTCAAATTTTTTCACTACCAGTTCTGTGGCGTGGTTTGGTGAGTGTGGCAGGGAAAGGATATTGCATAATCTCCATTCCCACCCCACTCCACAGGAAGAGCCTGTAGTACAGTGGACTAAAACACTTTTATTAACATCTGCTGCTTGCAATTACTGCAAGTTCAAATCTCACTAGGCTCAAGGTTGACTCAGCCTTCCACCTTTCTAAGGTAGGTGAAATGAGGACCCAGATTGGGGGAGCAGTAAGCTGACTTTGTATAAATATACAAAAGTATGAAGGCTATTGCTTAACGCATTGTAAGCCGCCCTGAGTCTCCGAAGAAGGGCGGCATATAAATTAAAGCAAAAAAAAAAAAAAAGGATACTGCAAAATCTCCATTCCCACCCCACTCTGGGGCCAGCCATAGGTGGCACTTGCCGGTTCTCTGAATTACTCAAAATTTCCGCTACCGGTTCTCCAGAACCTGTCAGAAGCTGCTGAATAGCACCCCTGATACTCCATTAAACAAAACTCTCTTCTCCATTATACAAAGATTATTCTAATTTGCAGCACTCAAGAGCTGCATTTTAGAACATAAAGGATTACAAAGGAGAAAAGATGAGAAAACTCATCTTTCCTGACTGCTTGCTACTATTACATAATCATGCGAAATATGATGATCACATTCTAAATACAGAAAATATATATTATTTCCCACCACATATATTAAGCTCAGTCTGCACTCAAGTCTCACCTGAGGCAGAACATACTATAAGGAATCTATCATTAGTCTTCATACATGGGTGGATTCAACTTTTGATAAATCATGATTTTGTCACTCTTTTACAATTTCTCTGTCTTTCATTTTGCAACACTAAATAGATTATAAGCATTCACATCCTAGGGGAAAAATAGCTTAAATATTTAATTGCTACATTTAGTTTAATTAATAAGAAAATTTTAGCAAAGCAAATGTGTTTTTATAGTTACTCAACAGTGTGGAAATTCCAACGCAGCCCTTCATCCTTCTTTGGAGGAGACAGCTATAATGTTTTGTTCTTTTAAATAAAAATCCCCAACAAGATTTGAAAATGAGTAACATTTTAATATTAAACTCCATTATAACTGCTTTATCGGTTTCTGATAGGAAAAGTTGGACCTGTAGCACCATCAAGTGGCAGAATTGCTGTTATGCTGCATAGAAAGAATCTGCCTTGGTTAAATCATCTTGAGTAAACCAATGCATCTGCAGCAAAAATTAAAATAGAACCCAATCAGTAGGCTAAGAATGGCATTAAAATCTACTTCTTAGAAAGTAAACTCCCTCTAGCCAATTTCCATGGCTGGGATACATCCATTTTCAAAATAAATAAAAGCAAACTATCTACATCCTTCCTTGGATTATGAGACCCGCTTGTGAAATTTTCCATAGGGCTGAATCCCTTCTTAATGCATTTATGATGGATTTGATTCCTGCAGGAAAATTTGGACTTGACTCTTTGTTTTCCTTTGGATTTCAGTGAGATGCATCTTTGAGGACTGCAGTTCATGGTGGTATGTCACAACATGTTAAGTTGCACTCTGCCCATATAGGAGGTTGTGATTAAAAAAATATATACAACATAGAACATACTGTTCTAAATGTACAAATTCATTATTTTGAATAGCCCAGAGGTAACTATGGAGTTAATATCACCAACTCCTTATCTGTAATTATCATGTGAAGTTATTAGTTGTTATTATTTAATCCTTGGATAGAGAGAATGATTGATTATCCTGATCACAGAATTCCTCAGAGATATCTAATCATCTCAAAGTGAGATGGGTGACAAACAAATCTAATGAATAAATAAATAAATAAATAAATAATAACAACAACAACAACAACAACAACAGCAACAATTTAATATGTGAATACAGCAAAATCGCACAAACTGATTACAAAGCTAGACATGACCGAGTTGCTAAATTAATCCACTGGTCATTATGTAAAGAATACGACTTTCCTGCATCCAAAAAGTCATGGGAACATAAAGTGGAAAAAGTTATAGAAAATGAGAAGGTGAAGATCTTGTGGAACTTTCGAATACAGACGAATACAGGATCGTCACTTGGAACACAATACACCAGATATCACAGTTGTCGAAAACTGAAACATACAATTTATTGACATTGCGGTACCAGGAGATGCCAGAGTTGAAGAAAAAGAACTGAAAAAAATCATGAAATATCACGACCTGGCCATCAAAACTACACGGCTATGGATGAAACATGTAACAGTGATACCCATTGTCATTGGGGCACTTGATACCATGTCCAAGAATTTTATAAGATACATCAACAAATTGCAGCTTCCTGCAATAACACCAGCAGAACTGCAAAAAATTGCACTACTTGGAACATCGTACATTTTAAGAAGGTACTTGGTTGATACCTAGGACGCTGGCAGTAACCCATATCAACCATTAGCACCAGTCAATGGTATTTGTGATGTATTTTTGAATGTTCAGTTGACTGAGTTTCATGTTTAATGAATAAAGTAAGTAAATAATAATACAGCAGAAGAGAAGAGAAAGAACTGGAAAAGTTAACACAATACAAAGATCTGCAAATAGAATGTATGTGAAAGCAAAGTTAGTACCAACAGTAATAGGCTATAGGATTGGGTGCAATCCTAAAACAACTGGAGCACCACTTGAGCATCCCTAGCATTGACAAATTCACCATCAGTCTATTGCAGCTTTACTCAGAGCGGCTTGCATCCTGCCATAATACTTTTAACACCATCAATCATCCACATCTCCCTGTCTCAGAAGGCCTCAATAACTGAATAAAAATGTCAAATCCAATCTGAACTATTCAGCAAACCATAATAATTATTTGTCGATCCAACCTACATTTGCATAACTGTTTTATTTTTTTTCAGATACTGGCTCAAAAGGCCAGAAACCAACAAAAAATGTTGTATATCATATATATCTGTAGAACTGCTCGTAAAGATGCACTGGTGCACAAAATCTGGTGACTGCAAGGGAGTATGCAACTTTCAGAACACTAGAACCAGATTGTAAGTAACTTTGATGGGGATGGGACTTTTTTTTTTTAAGTTTTATTAATTTTCTATTGTTTACACTTTGTTAGTGCTTAATAAACATTGGGTTGTCTGAGTTATTTTATTTGCTTAGCAGTACAGATAACATTCTTATTCTCCACTCCTTTTTTCCAACCACTGGTAGAATAAGTTCCATGTTTGATAATATTCTGTATCTTCTTTCTATTTAATCTTCAATGTAAGTCTGTCCATTTCTGCACAATCCAGTATCTTCCTAATTATCTCTTCATCTCGTGCTACTTCTTCATTTTTCTAATATTGTGCAAATATAATCCTCATTGCTGTTAATACATGCAATATTAAATATATATCTTGCTTATCAAAATTTTTCTGGTGCTATACCTGATAGAAAAAGTTTAGGTTTAAAATCTACATGTTTTCCTATCATCTTTTCTAACCACTTATGTGTTTTTGCCCAAAAAATGTTTTGCTTTAACACAGGTCCACCACATATGGTAATATGTGCCCGTTTTTTGGTTACATTTCCAATATATGCTAGATTTTTTTTTAAAAAAAAATTTGATTTATATGCTGCCCTTCTCCGGAGACTCAGGGCGGCTTACAATGTGCTCAGCAATAGCCTTCATCCTTTTGTATATTTATACAAAGTCAGCTTATTGCCCCCACAACTGGGTCCTTAAATATTAAAAATTTAATATTTTTAAATATTTTAGCTAACCTAGCAGGTGGTAAGTGCCATATATAAATACTTATATTTTATATAAGTTTTCTTTATAAGAAATTGCCATTGCTAATTTATAGTTTCTTTCCCATATGTTCTGCCATTTCTCTAATTCTATATTATATCCAAAGTTTTTTTGCCCACTAAAAAACAGGACTTTAACTGTACACTAAGTGACTGGTCATTAAGCAAGGACTAGCTAACAGCAGGTTTTTTAAAAGATTACAACAAATATAGTAACAGCGAAGATACATTCCATACCATCCCAATTTAAATCCTCCGTTAGTCTAGCCATTCTATGCATCTCACGAAGCTGATGACTTAATGAAATTTGAGAAACACAATGTACCATAGGGTGGAGTAAAAGAGAATCATAGTGATTTTCCTAGGGAGTAGGTGTGGTCTGTAGCTTTTAAAAGTAGGTTCTTCGTGTTGGGATGTCTAGAAGCATGATAATGCTGTCCAGCATGGGAGATACTTTCCTGAGAAAACACATCTGCTGTTTCACTCTTTTCCTTCTTGCCATGAAGGTCGCCAGTCCAGCTCATCTACAAACACAACCCAAAGATTCTGAAGACATTTTCCCTCCACTCTGGCATTTAGTGCCTGAAAACTTTGAAGATTATTTCATCCAAAATCACAAAATTGTCATCAATGTCTGGAACTACTTAGAGAGATTGGGAATGTATAAGATCTTGCTCAAATCTTCAGCTAAATATTTCAGTGAACTTGGACCTGACAATTTCAACAATATCTTATGGGGATTGCCATTACAGCATGGCTGGCAATACAGTTCAGGTAGGAACAATTTCTTTTACTCTAATATTAGAATTCCTAAGAGCGAAGTTAGGTTGATTCTAGCCCATGACAAAGATGACAGTTTTCTGTTTCAAACGAACTTTCATCTTAAATTGTTTGTGAGCTTGAAGGGAAAATACAGATGATTTCAGACCATGAAGTAATACAATTCATTAGCTAAATGATAAACTGGATTGATCAATGTCTGAGAAATTGCCACCTGTTGTATGAACATTGAAACAAACACTGTTTGTTTCCAATAGTCTAATCAAACAACAGAGACACTTAATAGACATTTTAAATAGGAATACTGCATGAATAAATAAGGCAATATCAGTTACAAAGATTAATGTTTTCTTCCTTGTTTCTTAAGCACAGGGCAGTCATATTCTTACTTTATGGCTACTAGCCTTCTTTCATATTTAATTAAAATAAAATTATAAGAAGAACCGGAATTCTGTAAAGAAAACAGTAGCTTCTATCATCACTTGCTTTAAGTTCTCCAATGCTCTTTGGCCCCAGTAAATGATTCATAGACATGATTAACCATTGACTTTCAGAACCATCTGTATGGGTCTTCCGGGTGGCTCCGCAGGACTTCACTGACGTCCCTCCTTGGGCGTCCGTTCCCCGGTCTCATAAAAGCCCCAGAACAGCCGAAAAACAGCTGTCTGGGGCTTGAAAACCCTCTCCCCGGGCAAAGGGGAGGGAGAAGAGCCGGCAGGCAGAGGTAGAACCCCCCAAGTGCCTTAGGAGAAATCCTGGGGCGCGAAGGGTGAGGGCTCCCTAGAAGCCTGCCAATCTGCTCCAAACCTGGGAAGACTCCACTAATTAGCTGGCTAGAAGCCGCGTCCATCTCTGCTGACAACAAATGAGGGATTTTTAACATCTTTAATTGCTGCAGGTAGAATAAGCCAGGAGAAGTCAGACTGCAAGTATTTACACTTAACTCCAAAGCTTTATTGCCTCCTTCAGAAGTAACAAGTTAGCAATTTGCATCAAAATGGCAATTGAAACCTGAAAGGGAGGGGCGGACAAAGGGAAAGTTACAGAAAGTTTCGTTTCCCTGGCAGCCTCTTGCCTGGAAAGAATTGCTGTGCTGAGAGAAGGAGGATTTTAAATGTTAATTTACGATTGGGAAAATTCTTGGACTTTGATGAACTTTTCTTTTTGGCTTCTGAACAAAATATAACGATTAATTTAAACTGAAAATGGCCTCAAAATCTGTAAAGACTGTTCCTATTAAAGGAACGGGAAGTGCTGGCAGCTCCCCAGCTCACATTCCTAGATTGCAAGCTTCTGCCCCTCCAGCAGATTCCCAGACTTTAACGTTGGAGATGTTACAACAAGCTCTCCAAGTTACACAAGAGAAACTTGCTATTGTGATTAATGAAAAAATTAATGAAACCAATGAAAAAATACAGGTTGTGTCAGATGAGATTGCAACTCGGAATCAGCAAATTAGGGATGATATTATAAAGACATTTAAATGTTTGGCAGGCAATATTGAAATGGTGGATGATAAAGTTGAAGAAGTTAAACAATCTACGGTAATTTTGGATAATAAATTAGCAGAAGCTCAGAATAGAATTCAGAGGGCTGAAGATGATGTAGCTATGATACAATACAGAGATATGGAATTTGCTTTAAGATTTAGAGGGGTGAAGGAGAACGAACACGAGAACTTGAGAGAAATGATGTCTGAGGTATTGGCACCATTGGTGGGGGACTCAAAAAATGATCTGGGCTGGCAGATTGACAAGCTGTATCGTGTTAATTCTTGGGTTGCTAGACAGAAACATTTACCAAGAGACATTGTGATATATTTTACTACAAGGAGAGTACGTAATGAAATTCTACAGGCCACTTTTCAAAACAAACTTCGGGTTGAAGTCCAGGAAGTGATGACAATGAAAGAAATCTCCCATAAGATCTTGAGAGCCAGAAGGGAGTATGCTTTTCTGGTGGATGAACTGAAAAAACACCAGATACAGTACAGATGGGAGGTGCCAGCTGGATTAGTAGTGACTTACTCAGGAGAGAAGTATCGGCTTAATACAATATGGAAAGCAAGAGATTTTTATATTAATGTATTAAAGGCTGGCACACCCAAATCATCCAAATCACCAGAAGGCAAAAGAAAGAAGGATGTGATGGAAGGTGAAAAAGAAGAGCTCATGACAGTAGTTCAGGGGGGAGGTTTGACAGGCCAAGGAGAAGAACCATTACAAATTCAGATGGCTGTTCAAGAGTTGGAGTTAATTGATTTAGAGCAACCCAAGGATCAAAGACAGACCAGATCGGTGACAGCTAGGCTCAAAGAAGTATCAAGACAGCAACAATTCCAGATGGCAACTCAAGAAACAATTCAAGAATCTACCAAAATAGAAGCAGTGGGAGGAGCAAGACCTAAAGGTCAATTGAGACAAGACCACCAGAATCTGCTCCAGTTGCTTCAGGGGTCCAGAGATGGGAACTAGATTTTTGACATGGAATGTTAATGGTCTGAATTCTCCACAGAAAAGAAGAAAAATATTTCATTATCTCAAACAATTTAAAAATGATGTGATTTGTCTACAAGAGACTCATATAAGAGTACAAGATCAAAAATACCTGATAAATGCAAGACTTGGTACACACTACATGGAAAAGAAAAATGGTATAGTTATATATCTGAAAAGAGACTTAGTTGCTAAATTAATTGAAGCAGATGACCAAGGAAAATTCTTAGCGATAGAACTTTTAATTAAAGGAGAAAAAATACTTGTAATTGGAATCTATGCCCCGAATCAACAACAAGAAAATTTCTACAATTTACTACACTCGAAGTTGACACAATGGGCATATAAAACTTGTATCCTGTTGGGGGATTGGAATGGGGTCTTGGATATTAAAAAAGATAAGAAGGGACCTAAACAAAATGTTTTAACAAGAGCAAAACTGCCCAAAGCGTTTTGGGAGATGATGGATGATTGGGAGCTGAGGGATATTTGGCGTGAAAGAAATCCGGAAGAAAAAGATTTTACTTTTTCTCAGACAGACATCAATCCTTCTCAAGGATTGATTTTATACTAATTACTAATGATCTTTTATCTAGGGTGAAGAACACGAAGATTTGCTCAAGAATATTGACAGACCATAGTCCAGTTTGGTTGGAATTGGAGTGTGGGAAAGGGTCTAGGAGGTCCTGGAGGTTAAATGATAACTTGTTTAGGTATGAAGAAAATGTAAAAGAGTATAAAAAATTTATGAAAGAATTTTTTGTTATGAATATGCAAAAGAGTACATCTATGGAAATGGTATGGGATGCAAGTAAAGCATATATGCGAGGAATTTTGATATATTTGAATAATAAGCATAGAAAGAAATGGGGCAAAAAGAAAAGAATTAGAAGATGAGATTAGTAAACAGGAACAGGCTTTAATAGTCAATCCAACAGATAAGCAAATTAAAGAGGCAATCAAGTTATTGAAAGGTCAATTTAACATGTTAATAGCAGATCAAGTGGCAACTAATTTACGATATGCAAAACATAATACTTTTTATAATGCCAATAAACCAGGCAGGTGGTTAGCATACCTGTTAGGGAAAAAGCAAAAATCAAGGACAATAGAGAAAATAAGATATAAGGGTAAGGAGGTTTATGAGCAACAATTGATTAAAAAATCTTTCTTAGAGTTTTATTCGAGGCTGTATACTGGTGATAAAATTAAAGATATAGATATACATAGATATTTGCAGAAAGAGAATATTTATACAATCTCAAATGAGCTGAGGGATATCTTAAACCAAATGATAACTTCCGAGGAAATTGTGTTAGCAATTAAGCAGTTGAAAGTGGGTAAAGCCCCTGGGACGGACGGTCTGACAGCTATTTATTATAAAATTTTACAGGAGGAAATGGTGGAACCATTGAAAGAATTATTTAACAATATACAACAGGGAGGAGAGGTGCCACCAACTTGGAAGACAGCATTTATCTCGTTGATCCCAAAAGAAGGGCATGACGATACAGATCCTAAAAATTATAGGCCAATTTCATTACTGAACACAGACTATAAGATTTTTGCTAAAATTTTAGCAAATAGATTAATGACAGTTATGCAGCAAATGATTCACCATGATCAAACTGGTTTTATAAATGGCAGACAAATGAAGAGTAATGTAAGGCAAATTGTTAACTTATTAGAGTATCTGGGAGGGAACAACCAGGTCCCCGCAGTGCTAGTGTTTTTGGATGCTGAAAAAGCCTTTGACAGACTGAATTGGCAATTTTTATTAAAATTAATAGAAAGGATGCAATTTGGAGAACAATTTGTACAATCTGTTAAGGCAATATATCAAAAACAAACAGCGCAAATAATAGTTAATGGTGGCTTAACAGATCCTTTTAATATAGAAAAAGGAACAAGGCAAGGCTGTCCCTTGTCTCCATTATTGTTTGTGTTGACGCTGGAAGTTTTACTAAGTAAAATACGTGAGATGGACGCAATAAAAGGAATTAAAATTAGACAGCATGAGTATAAGTTACGAGCATTTGCGGTAACCTGGTTGTTACCTTAACCCAACCGGTACAATCGATTACAGTCTTGATGGACATAACCTGCTTATATGGACAAGTATCTGGTTTTAAAATAAATGCAGCCAAAACGAAAATAATAGCTAAAAATACGGTCAGAAGCCAGAAAGAAGAGATAGAAAGGTTAACAGGATTTGAAGTAGTTAAGAAGGTTAAATACTTAGCGGTTTATATTATGACTGCAAATATGAAATTATATCAGCACAATTATGAACCACTATGGCACAAAATACAAAAGGAGATGGAAAATTGGAAAAAACTACAATTGTCTTTGCTGGGAAGGATAGCCGCTGTAAAAATGAATATTTTACCAAAATTTTTATTTCTTTTTCAAATGATACCTATACTTAAAAAAGATGAAAATTTGAAGGAATGGCAGAAGGGCATAAACAAGTTTGTGTGGGCAGGGAAGAAACCTCGAGTTAAACAAAAGATAATGCAAGACATCCGAGGAAGAGGTAGTCTTAAAATGCCCAATTTAAGATTGTACTATGAAGCCGCTGCCCTCTCAGCAATTACAGACTGAGTAAATTTAACGGAGGAAAAGATATTGAATATTGAAGGATATGGTTTGGTCTACGGCTGGCATGCTTATTTAGTCTATGACACGAAAGTAGATAAGGCTTTTAAAAGTCATATATTAAGAAATTCTCTATTGTGGGTCTGGAAAAAGTATAAATATAAATTAAGTGATAAATTACCAATATGGACAATACCCAGACACGCGATAGAGAATATAAACCTAGAGCAAAAGCAAGATAAGATTACATATAAGGAACTTCTTTATAAGGAAGGAGTCAGATTACAATTAAAACCAATGGAGAAATTAAGAGAAGAAGGAATTATTAGGACATGGTTTCAGTATGGACAGCTGCAGGCCAGATGGAGAGAAGATCAAAAAATTGGTATTTTGCAGCAGGATGAGAACTTGATAAAGCAAACAAGAGATAAAGGTCAAATGCATATAAAAAGGTTGTATAATGCACTAGTGGAAATAGATTCAGAAACAGAGTTAGTCAAGGACTGCATGATAAAATGGGCACAAAATGTAGGTGAACCAATAATGATGGAAACATGGGAAAAGATATGGGTCAGAAATGTAAGATTTACACAATTCTCTAAGGGAGAATTTTTATAAAATGTTTTATAGATGGCATTTAGACCCCAAAAAATTAGCCTGTATGTATCCAAACTTACAACCTAAGTGTTGGCGATGTGAGTGTAAAGATGCTACATATTTTCATATATGGTGGACATGTAAAAAAATTAAGGCTTTTTGGATAAAAATATGGTGGATTATTCAAAACATTTTAAAGAAAAAAATTAAATTTACACCACAGTTCTTTTTGTTGGGAATAGTCATGGATTGTACTGTAATAGAGACTAAGTTGGTTTTGAACTTAATAACGGCTGCCAGGTTACTGGTGGCACAGTACTGGAAGAAGGAAGATCCACCCACCATTGAGGAATGGACATTAAAAGTTGCGCATTTGGCAGAAATGGCGAAAATTTCATCATATCTTAAAGACCATTCAAATGAAATATATATATCGGAATGGAGAAGATGGATCAATTACATACAGAAGAAGTATCCGAATAAGAAGATTCATATAGCATATGAATGAAGTAACTTTAAGTAGTTTATATTTGTTTTTTGAATTATAAGGAGTTAAGGATCTAGATCCTAGGGAGAATATGAAATGTAACAATTCGTTAGCATATTCTAGCTTTTGATTTGTGAATGCTATACCCTGTGCTTGTTCTGGGAAGTCTAGGGAGGGGGGAGGGGGGAGGGGGGGAAGGAGGGAAAGGGGGGGTGGGAAAGGGGAGGGGGAAGAGTGGGGAGGGTGAAAATGTTTGTATTCTCTACAAAATTTTTTAATAATAATAATAAAAAAAAGAACCATCTGTGTGGGTTAGGAATGGGAGGTCCTGTTTTGATCTTGGAGTATTTCCAAATGATAGCAATCCTGGATAAGTGATTAACTATATGTATTTTAAAAATCTTATCAGGCACTCTTTATTTAATATTTTTAATAGTCTCATTGTTGGCTAAAGGAATTGGCATTTTCTGATATGCTAAAGTCAAATGTATTATAAACATCACATCTTACTTCAATAACAGTTCTTTTTTTCATGTATGTCATTCAAATGTTGACTGCAGCTTATTTAAGAGACTGAAAAGAGCAAAGTAAAAGTAGCTCTTCATTTGGACCTATAACCAGATTAATTGGGAGCCAGGTTTTCAGTTTTAGCAAAACTGTGTTTTTTTCACTAGCAATTACTGTATACTGGTTTCACATTCCAGCTCCTTGGTCTCAGCTCCTGTCAATGGGGCTTCGGAAGCCCTGACTTTCAGTTGCTGCTTCTAAATGCCAAGTTGGTCTGTAGTTAGGCCTCCTTCATTTGCAATTTAATCATCAACCAGAGGACCAACCTTGCATGTATTATTGAAAGCTGGCTGGGTCTGGAAGGGGAGGTGACCCTTTCAGATATATGCCTAGCTGTGTTTTGGGTGCTGTATTAGCTGAGACACTAGGGTAGGAATGGAAATGTGTTAATCGTCATCTGGAAATATCTACAGGTTACCAGAAGTGAGATCCTGTTTGTTCAGTTGTACTCTAAGTATTAAATCTCACTAGCTGAACTCTTTGACTCAATTTCTGGGTTGGCAGTGGAGTGTCCCAGATTTATACTATTGAGGGACTTCAGCCTTCCTTCTCTAGGAGTGGGATCTGAGATGGTTCATGGCCATGATGATGGTCATGGCCCCTATTCTTGCCAGAGCAGTAGCAATGTGCTCTGAAAATTAGGGAAGTTCTAAGTCTTTCTTTTGTCATAATCATATTATGTCCTGATTTCCATATGATTTATTTATTTATGAAAATTTATATGGCCATCCAACTCACTCTCAATGACTCCAAGCTGCTTACAAGGATAGTCTTATGAAAAGAAGGTCTAGGGGTGACATGATAGCAGTGTTCCAATATCTCACAAAGAAGAGGGAATCAAACTATTCTCCAAAGCACCTGAGGGCAGGACAAGAAGCAATGGGTGGAAACTAATCAAAGAGAGAAGCAACTTAGAACTAAGGAGAAATTTCCTGACAGTTAGAACAATGTATCAGTGGAAAAACTTGCCTCCAGAAGTTGTGAATGCTCCAACACTGAAAGTTTTAAAGAAGAGGTTGGATAACCATTTGTCTGAAGTGGTATAGGGTTTCCTGTATATTCTATATTCTGTTATTCTATTCTATAAAGAAGCATCTAGAAACAATAAAAAATCAATATAATCCTCCCCCCCCCCCGTGACAATAATCAAATGAGTCACTTAATGAGTTTCATCCTGCTCTGGGTTCCCCAGGCCATTGGCAAACCATGTCTTCAAGGCCTTGCAGAAGAATGTCAAAATGGCGGCCAATCCTATCTCCACTGGGATGATGTTCCATAGGAAGGGAGCCACCACAGAGAAATAAACCGTGGTGCCACTATCCATTGTAGGTCTGGGGAGGTACTGAGATGGTATCATCTGTTGTCCTCTCTTAATCTTTAATTGCTATTTTTAATTTTTTTAAAATAATAATTGTGTTTTATATAGTTTCTTATATAACTCCTGTTAAATAGAAGATAGATAGAAGAGGCAGGACACTGATTTTCAAGTAACAGTTGTTTATTCAGTAGATCAATACGATCCAGCAACTTGCCTGTTTGACAGCTCACCCTTTTATAGGGAGCTGTCAGATGGCTTAACCAATGACATTCAACTATTTTCCCACCGTAATGGTGGACCTGAGTGAAGCCTTCGTACCTTGGCTTCACTCCCTTATTAGTATGTAAAAACTCCAAAATCACATTTTTGAGGAAAAGGGTGGAAATATAAATCAGATGAACAAATAAATAAATAAAAATGGTCATAAATAAATAAAAACAGTATAAATTTGATGAACAAATAAATAAATAAAAACTACAATGCTTATTTTTCTCTTCCAAAAAGGCTGTGCAATATTGGTGTTTCATTTTCTTCCAGGCAGATTAGCAGATCCTTTAAATGCTACAGGGTGTGGCCATAAGGGTGGAGACAATCTATGCATATCTGAATTCAGCTGGTGGGCTTGTAAGTATATATTCTTGTTTGGGATTTACTTAGTTTTATACTTAACAGAGAAAACTCCTAGCATGTAAACCCAACTGCATCAAAATACGAATTCTTCAATTGTATCAATGTCTTATAAAAGCGATAAGATTTGCCAAGTGCTAAAATTTCCACCATGAGCACTACCAAACCTTACAGCAGGGCTCTCCAAACTTAGCAAGTTTAAGACTTGTGGACTTCAACTCTGCCTGGCTGAGGAATTCTGGAAGTTAAAGTCCACTAGACTTAAAGTTGCCAAATTTGGACATCCCTGCCTTACAGAATTGATCAATAACAATCCTTCTAACCACAAGCTTCCATGTGACTCTCAACAACACATATGCTAACTGCTTTTATGGAAAACTTCTATTCAAAAAGAAATCTCTCATTTCCATACTTCATTTTTGCAGCATCACTGCATCAATTCTCATATTCTTCTGCAGGTTTGTGTGACCTCCTAAATAGTCACACACAGAATATCATTGTAGAAGTACTTTCACTAATAACTGTTATATGTTCGACTTCCTCTATGGAACATTTTCTCAAATAATAATAGACAAAGGGTGATATATAGACTAAAGTGGCAAAGTCAGGAAAAAAGAAACAAATTTCAGAATAAATAAAATATTGCCAAAAATATCTAACAAGACTGATTTTAAAATATGTCTTATCTAATAGTTCCATGGGAATAGCCCAGAAGGTACTTCTCGTAATCAAGTAATTATCTCCAAGCAAGACTGATACAAAAAAGAAATTGCAGTCATGTTTAATAATTAACACTGACTTATGATATGAATTCCAGTTAGTAGCTAATCTTCAATGACATTAGAGTTGTGCACAAATACATTTCATAACTAAAGATTTCTGAAAAAGCCATATGAGATTCCAATTAAAATTTAATAAACTCTCAATATTCTACCAATTAAAGTTAATCAGATACTATGTTGTCCCATTATTCTGATATCAGTTGCATATATATTTTTTATTTGATTTCTTTGTTGCCCAGAAAAATTCCCTCTGTGTAAATCAGGCCATACCACAATGCTGGGGGAGCATTCCTCTAGCCATATATTTGAACAAATTGGGATTTGGTAGGCCTTGTTTAGAGACTGCCTCATTTAGCAACCGTTCATAGCTATGATTCTAATGAAAAAGTAATTCTCACATTTATGAGGACTTTGCAGATCTGTAAAGCAAAGAACAGCTGAAGGAAGAACATCTGCACAGCCACTGTTTCACTTAACAACTACTTCACTTAATGACCAAGTTGCTGGTTCCAATTGTAGTAGCTAAATGAAGACTACTTGTATTTTTTCCATTAAGCTTATTTTTGCTTTGATTAATATTTTAACCTATGCTCACTTCTTTTTTAATTGCCCTAGGTATGAATTACTACTTGGCAGCTATTCCCTTTCTTGGGGCACTGGATAGTGACTTCTTTGAAGAGCTACCAAATGAGATAGAATTAATTCCACCACAAGAGCAAAGAGCACATTTCTGCCTCAGCATTGCTGAATGTAATACCCAGCTGCCAAAAGTCATGTCTGCCTGGAGGGATTTTTTCAAGGTATATCTGTTGATTGTTTTCAGAACTATATGGATATCTTCCTAGTATACACTTCTTCTTCCCTAAATCATCTGTGCAAGCCAGTGGTGAAATCCAAATTTCTTTACTACCGGTTCTGTGGGTGTGGCTTGGTGGGTGTGGTGTGGCTTGGTGGGCTTGGTATGGCTTGGTGGGCGTTGTGTGATTTAGTAGGCGTGGCTTGGTGGGTGTGACAGGGGAAGGATACTGCAAAATCTCCATTCCCTCCCTACTCCTGGGGGAAGGATATTACAAAATCCCCATTCCCACTGCACTCTGGGACCAGCCAGAGGTGGTATTTGCTGATTCTCTGAACTACTCAAAATTTCCGCTACCGGTTCTCCGAACTGCTCAAAATTTCCACTACCGCTTCTCCAGAACCTGTCAGAACCTGCTGGATTTCAGCCGTGGTGCAAGTGCTGTACACATTATTGGGGGGGTGGGGAACCTTCTAATTTTAGGGGAAAACTATACTTTTTCTTCATATTTGGTGGTGTAGATAGAAGGCTATATATCAGGGGTGTCAAACTTGCGTCATCACGTTGCGATCATGTGACGTATCATGACTTTTTCTCCCTTTGCTAAAATGGGGGTTGGTGTGGCCAGCATGTGATATATCCAGCCTGTGGATCATGAGTTTGACAGCCCTGCTATATATGAACTAAACTTTTAGTACAGTAATGTGTCAGGGTTTACATCGGGGTGGGTTCTACTTACCTTTACTACCAGTTCGCAACAGGAACTGCACATGCGCAGATCGCCGATGATGACATCCGGGGTGGTGGGCGGGGCCTCCCGCCAGTTTTACTACGAGTTCTTGCGAACCGGTCTGAACCAGGGGCAACCCACACTGGTTTGCACTCAAAAGGCCAGAGGAGGTCAAGACAAAGGAATGGCCTAGCCTAAATCAAAGTCTTTTGAAGTTGTTTGAGACATAATCTTATATAGTTATCTGGGAGGAATTTGAGTCTGCTAGTCCTAATGAAATGGACAAGTCCTTGGAGCTGTGAGTTCAACCATCTTGTGTTTTAGATTTGTGTCTTTCCTGATTGGTTAAAACTTCCCAAAAGATGATGTGTGGTTAAGTCCATAAAGTGATTAATGTTTCCTTGAAGGCATTGACCTTTTTTAAAGAAGCTATTCCTGCATACAATAGAACTGAACAATTGTTGACTAGTTTCAAACCTTCCTTTTTTTAGGGAAGGTTGTTGAGAGATTAGTTAATTCAAACTCCAGAGGGCCCTGAAGAGGGAAAAAAAAAATGCTGACATTTGTAAACTGCTCAGAGCGGGCTATAAAGTACTATGGAGTGGTATAGAAGTCTAAGTGCTGTTGCCATTGCTATTGTTTTCATTAATTAAAACAGTTCATTTCAAAATCTATGCTAGCTCCATCACTTTTTCCATCCATTCTTCATTGTGGGAATTGACGTTATCTTTCCATACATAAAACTCTTGCTGCAGTCAACATATTTATTATTTATTTATTTATTAGTCCAATTTATATGCCGCCCTTCTTTGTAGACTCAGGGCGGCTTAGAATGCATTATAGCAATAGCCTGCATACTTTTTTGTATATACCTGCTTATTAGGGCTTTCGCCCCCCCACAAGCGGTGTTGTTCTATACAAAGCTGGCTTATTGCCCCCACAATCCGGGTCCTCAATTTACCTACCTCGAAAGGATGGAAGGCTGAGTCAACCTTGAGCCTGGTGAGATTCGAACTTGCAATAATTGCAAGCAGCTGGCAGCTAAGTGCTAACACTTAACAGCACTTTAGTCCGCTGCACCACCGAAGCTCCTGTTTGAGCAGATGGAAAGTTTGTTGAAGGGACATGGTGTGGATATTATTTTTTGTTTGCAATAACTGTGGCAACTTGTCCAAGAGACAAAACTGTGTTGGGTACACAGTTGATAACTGTGTTGAGTATCCTCTGAAATGGAACCGTGATGACCGATTAGTCTGTTATTTATTTATTTTATTTTATTTTATTTTATTTTATTTTATTTTATTTTATTTTATTTTATTTTATTATTTTATTTTATTTTATTTTATTTTATTTTATTTTATTTTATTTTATTTTTTTATTTTATTTTATTTTATTTTATTTTATTTTATTTTATTTTATTTTATTTTATTTTATTTTATTTTATTTTATTTTTATACCGCCCTTCTCCAGCAGGACTCAGGGCGGTGAACAGCCAAGGTAAAACATAGCATACAAAATTTAAAACAATTTAAAAAGATATTAAATAATTTCGGTCCACAATTTAAAAACACCCCAATAAATCCTTGGGAATGCCTAGAGTTCAACTGTTGCTGGAGGATGGTGCTTGGGGCAGAATCTGGTCATGTGATCTAGGATGAATTTGTGCTGTTGACTCCTGAGGAAATGGACAGGGTTCTCTGTACTGTCAGCTCGCCCACCCTCCTGAGTCACAAAACCAGACAGTGCAGTTATCTGTGATTGGATCCATATTTTGGTAGTGACTTCCTTGACAGAGGTGGTGGTGTTTCATAGGATCAGGCCTGGTTAAAAATTATATGACAGACATCCAGGAAATTTTAAAGCAATAGGCTAGACTGAAAGGACAACTTACATCCACCCACATTATGTCTTCATTTTCAAGAAAGTTTGAGGTAAGCCGAGACCTGGATTATCTATTATCTATCTATTTATGGGTATGGTTGTATAATTTTTATGAATAACTGAGTAGTTTTATTTATTCTCCAGTACCTATATCTATATCTACATCTACTTATCTTTCTATACATTTATTTTTAGTATCTCCTATCTACTGCATCAAACTCTGAAACAGCTACAAGTCTTCTTTTCTCAGAAGATGAAGCCTTGGGTTATATGTGGAGTGCTCATACTCTCTCTATTAGTTCTGCATTTCAGAAGTGTAAAAAAAGGTAAGTAGTACCAATAAAGGGTAATATTTGTAGCTCAGGGTTGAAATGAGGGGTGCTTGGTGCTCTCTGAGCTTGATTCTTTTCTTTTTTCTTGATTCTTTTCTTTGGAAATGATCTCTGGATCATTTCCAAAGAAATGTAAACTGGATAATGTAACCTGGTACTGATGATGTTACCTAGTTTGGGTAATAAAACATTTGCAAGAAAACACTCAAGCTCAGAGAGCACCAAGGACCCCTTAAGGTTAGACATTTATCAAAAGAATTATGAGAAGCTCTGAAATCACTGAAAAGGCATAACTGCCTCTGAATTTTGGTAGGATTATCTTATGTTCTGCCCATAATTTCTTCTATGATCCTTAACCAAAAAAATCAGACGACATCATGGTTTGTTTTAGGTTTTTCCTGTGGTTGGTGGCAAGTAGAAATTATTGTTAGATGTAACGAGTAGGATTTGTAAGATTCTGCTATTATAGCCATTCTGAATAAAAGTGTTAGTTTTCCTGTGGAATTGATTTCTCTGTCTATCTAGTGAGGCTAATAGTAGATAACATACTATCAACAATTATTTATATCCGTGGGACGATCTTGGTAGCCCACTGGGCATATTTGTAGTTAGACTCAACTATGAGTAATTATACCATCTGATTGTTCACAATACTGTAGGAAGAATTTATTTTTGATTGGTTAGTATCATCATTGTGTTATCCCAAAGCATATAGTTTGGCTCAGGAGATGCAAGTCAATTACAATTAAAAATATCTCAGAAACCTCTCTCAGATTTGATAACATTATAAATATTATTCAAATATTCATGACTTTCTTTTCCTATTTACATTTCAGTCTCTCATACCTCAGCGGACCTGAAAGCAGTTTTGGCGAGGCCTGGTCTTCCACAGTTGATTTCCTTGCAGCCACGCATCTTCCTACAAACTTTAATGTTACAAATAATTTCCAGATGGGATTACCACCTCGAATACTTTTGGAAGGAGACAAACCCTTCATTGGTGACTTCACATTTCTGCAGAATAAAGTGCTTTTTCTTCTTGAGAGTCTTCATACCACAAATAAGAATACAGGTAGGAGTCTAAGACCAATACATGATCCATATTTAATTACAGGTATACAGAAGCCACTTCCATGTGGCAATGTTTCCACTTCCAAATCCTGCTAAATCATTTTGAAACCAATTCTCTAATTGTCTCTATTCTGGCTAACCTTGGAACCCCAAAAGCAGTTGGGGAACACCATGAACCAATGAATTCTCCCTCCAGCCAACCAATGGAAGATTGTAAGATTATCATTCAGGCTGTGCCATTCCCCCTGAGCTAAAGAAGTCACTGGAATAACTAATGTTCCCACCCCCTACTGCAGTTTTCAGAACATATTTTGTACATAAACTTTGACCTAGGAGTATCTAGGAATGGGGGGGGGGGGGAAGAGGTGCCTGTCGCAGTATCATTCTTTCTGCACATAAATTCCTACTGAAAATTGTGAGGATGCTTTATATCATAGTTTTGCATCCAAACCAGAGGTGGATTTTAGCAGGTTCTGACCAGTTCTGGAGAACCGGTAGCAGAAATTTTGAGTAGTTCAGAGAACCGGTAGTAAAAATTCTGACTGGCCCCACCCCCATCTATTCTCTGCCTCCCAAGTCCCAGCTGATCAGGAGGAAATGGGGATTTTGCAGTAACTTTCCCCTGGAGTGGGGTGGGAATGGAGATTTTACAGTATCCTTCCCCTGCCACGCCTACCAAACCACACTCACCAAGCCATGCCATGCCCACCAAGTCACGCCCACAGAACCGGTAGTAAAAAAAATTTGAAACCCACCATTGATCCAGACACGTGGTCTAGTACAGTGGACTAAGCACTGTTATTAACATCTGCTGCTTGCAATTACTGCAAGTTCAAATCTCACCAGGCTCAAGGTTGACTCAGCCTTCCATCCTTTCAAAGGTAGGTGAAATGAGGACCCAGATTGTGGGGGCAATAAGCTGACTTTGTATAAATATAGAAAAGTATGAAGGCTATTGCTTAACGCATTGTAAGCCCCCTGAGTCTCCAGAGAAGGGCGGCATATAAATTAAAGCAAAAAAAAAAAAAAAGAACTGCAAGCATCATTTTAGATTTTAGATTACAATAGAGTGTTATTGTATGTTAATCCTCATTTTAGCCCAATGACCAGGAGACAAGGAGAGGCAAATGTTGCATGCATGCTGTGTAGAAAAATTCAAGCCTGGTAAACCCAATCTGCATGCTGTAACTGAAATATCAATACAAATCCACAGCATTAGAGAGTGAAAAGGGAAACTCAGTGGCTTGATTATTATAGAGATGCCCACCTGGTATCTCAAAGAACATGATCAAGGTTTCCTCTGGCTTCCATTTTTATTATGGTGGAAATAACTAATGAGATAGAGTGCGCGTCAAGCATCTATTATTTTCCAGAGCAATAGTTGCCAATGCTCTCAAGTTTGTACTTTCAGATTTCAAGACTGATGTTGGCCTTCCTGGTGAATTATATAGGAAACACAACTAGATGAGCTAATTCTACTTTATTGTAAGGCTACTACATTAACAGAATCGTGCAAATCTGAAAATACAAACTTCCATTCTGACGGGTCCTTCAATGGAGACTCAATGGAGTCTTTCGTTGACTGTTAAGCAATTGCAGGTTCCTGCAGTGGTGAAATCCAAATGTAATACCCAGCTGCCAAAAGTCATGTCTACCTGGAGGGATTTTTTCAAGGTATATCTGTTGATTGTTTTTAGAACTATATGGATATCTTCCTAGTATACACTTCTTCTTCCCTAAATCATCTGTGCAAGTCAGTGGTGAAATCCAAATTTCTTTACTACCGGTTCTGTGGGTGTGGCTTGGTGGGCATGGTGTGGCTTGGTGTGGCGGTGGGCATTGTGTGATTTAGTAGGCATGGCTTGGTGGGTGTGACAGGGGAAGGATACTGCAAAATCTCCATTCCCTCCCCACTCCTGGGGCCAGCCAGAGGTGGTATTTGCCGGTTCTCCGATCTACTTAAAATTGCTGCTACCGGTTCTCTAGAACCTGTCAGAACCTGCTGGATTTCACTCCTGGGTTCCTGCCTCTCTTGTCTGATGGTTTCTTAGGCAGCCTTCTTTCTTCCTTTAACTCAAGGTTATTCATGCATCCATTGCATCTAGTCATGATGATGGAAAACTGAAGAAAAGCGCATTATATCATTATGGAAGCGCCATCCTTTATACATATTTCACACAAATACTTTAAATAAGGGGCAGAGCTTGACATGTATCTGTAGTTATCCACAATAATTTCAAAGTAATCTGCATTTTGATGCAGCAGAAACTCAACCTTTTGTATTTAAGCTGTAAGATTTTGTGCAAATAAACAAAATACACAAAAGGCAAAGTACAAATTACTTTATCAGCTCCCCACCCCAAGATGCCCATATGTAATAATAGGGGGGGGGGAATTAGGATAAACTGAGGTTAAAAGTAGCAATCCTAATTGCCCTGCTATAATTCCAATAGTGGGATTCAAATCCTGGTGCTACCGGTTGGCTATCGGTAGTGCGCGGCACTTCTATGCATGCGCAGAGCATTTTTGATGATGTCTGGGTGGATGGGCGGAGCCTCCTGCCACTGCCACTACCAGTTTGCCCGAACCGGGGCAAATCGGGAGCAACCCACCACTGTATAATTCCATTGTTCCATAGAAGATAAAATTCACCTGAATATCATTTAGGACTTCTGTCTGTATCATTGCTGAAGTTAATCTTAAAAGAGTTTAAATTGTTGAAATTGTTTCCTGTTAAAGGTGTTTCTTGTTTAAATTGGAGGATGTAAAGTATAGACAGCTTCCTTGCAAAACTTCGGTCAGAAGATAGCAACCCTCTACATGACAGAGATGAAAACTCTGGAATAAATACCTCTCACACTCCCGGTTGCTCTAAGTATTAATTTTATCCTGCTGAATAATTTACGGTACATTGAAAAATAGATTAGGAGAGGAGAGAACACTTCTGTTAGTTTTGTTAGCTCCCTCTCAATGAAGTTGGATATGTTAGTTTTTCTTCTTTTTTTGCACCCACATCAATTAATTGGGGCAAATTGATGATGCAAAAGCTTTTACAGTAGGATTGGTAAACTATTCTACCCCACAGAACTTGAATCCATCCTCTCTCTGGATATTTAAGTTGTATTTTTAAAATCTGAGGTTATTCTGCTGAAACGGTACAAATTTGAAAACTGAAATTACATTTGGGAAAGCATTACCATTTCCCCAGTTGGTAAAGGTAAAGGTTCTCCTCGCACATATGTGCTAGTTGTTCTCAACTCTAGGGGGAAGTGCTCATCTCCGTTTCAAAGCTGAAGAGCCAGCGCTGTCCGAAGACGTCTCCGTGGTCATATGGTTGGCATGATTAAATGCCAAAGGCGCACGGAATGCTGTTACCTTCCCACCAAAGGTGGTCCCTGTTTTTCTACTTGCATTTTTTATGTGCTTTCAAACTGCTAGGTTGGCAGAAGCTGGGACAAGTAATGGGTAACAAGTAACCGGTAATAAGTAACGGTTGTTACACCTGTGTTTTTCAGCTGTTGTAAGGTATTGCAGACTTCCTTGTGCTCCAAAGCACCTTTTAAAGATCAACTCTGAAGAGCACTACTATTAGTTATTGATATCAGATAGTTCTGAGAAGAAAAAGTAAATTGGGTAGTGTTATTTCCTCTTTCTGCAAGTTCACAATTTGAAACATAATAAATGCATCATCATCTGGGCTTGATAGGAATGTGATGTAAAATTAAATAAAAAACAAATTGTCTTCAAATTGAAGCCATAAGTACATGGTTTTTTGTACACATGTTAGTCTGGGTCTGTATGTTATATCTCTAATTAAATCGGCATTGTTTTCCACAAATACTTCTCACAGAATAATTAGTATTGGTTTTAACAGCTAATACTGTTGCTTCAATTCTTGTTCATAAATGTTTTATTAAGTGTCACTTGATTTTTAAATAGTTTGATGTTTTAAGATTCCGCTGAAATGAAAAGAAAATAAATACATAATTTTTATGTGTGTTTGTTTGTGCAGGGAATATTCTACTGCTTTTATGGAAAAAAGCCATGTCCACTGAAAAAGGAAGACGTTTTGGTCGAAGTCTTATTGAAAAGATCTTTTCTACCCTTTCTGTGAAATAGCTCAGCTTTACCCAACATAAATAAATAGTTTCATGATTTACCCAATGCTGTATCACTTTGTGGATTCCCTTGATTAAGTCTGGATGAAGTAGCTTGGCTTTACTTTAGTGAAGCATTTGATGATGTTGAAGGGACATCATATTGAGTTCTCCTTGCATTAAAACCCTGACTGGCCTAAAGCGTCTTCGGACTCTGGAATTCTCAGTCAAGATCTTTGAAGAAAGGCCAAAGAAAGCTACACTTATATCAACTGTTTTACTCTTAGTAGTTGTGGGGTGAAAGTGGGGTTCCCTTGCTTTTGATGCAGCTGTAGAGCTTTCACTCATGTTTTCACCCAAGGCAGGCTTTCTTTGCAGTGAAGGGCCAAGATGCATATCTCCTATAATTTACTGCCTTCTGTTTGGTTCAATATTGTTTGGAAAACTTTACCGTTGTCAGGAATACATTTTAAAAAGTAAACAAATAAGTCTAACTACATTATGGTATCTTATGTATTTATTTATTAGTTTGCATACAAGCCTAATATAATGAAAAACATAATATATAAGCAATATATATCAAAATATTTCAGGTACTATATCCATCTTGTACAAGATCTACCTTGCAAAAGGGATCAAAAAATATTTCAGACTCTCCAGACCCTATCGGCATGCTGGGAAATCCATATCTTACCATCATCATACTCAGAAGGGTTGAAGCCAAAATCAGACAGAGAAGGGGGGGGTGGGGTGGGGAAGTGACCATATTCCATTGTCCCTGCAGTTGATATTCCTCTGAGAGTAGGTGATCCTCAAATTACCTTTGTCCCAATAAGCACCTTCAATTCTTCCAGGAGACAAAGTAGTAAGCAGTATAGCTATCAAAACCGTAGCATTACCTAAACTGAATGGCACCCATTACTACCTGAGTCATTGCATTATGGACCATCCAAAGCTTTATATAGTACATTATAGTAGTACATGAGAGATGATCTAAGTGTGAGTAATAGTCAGTAGGGTCTCTTGCCTCAACAAAGATAATAAATGATGCACAAAATGAAGATCAGGGGTGGGTTGCTGGGGTTCAGCAGGGTTCAGGCAATCCTCTAGCCAAGGATCATCAGGGTTCGGTGAACCCCCAAATGCCACCTCTGGCTGGCCACACCCACCCCACCCTGCCCCTCCCAGGAGTCTCCACATGGCCCGTTCATCATTCCAGGGGACGTGTGGAGGGTCTGGGAGGGCAAAAACCGGGCCTACCAGAAGTTTGGAAAGGCCAGAAACAGGCCTGCAGCCTCCGGAGGGCCTTTGGAACCTGGGGAGGCTGTTTTCACCCTCCCAGAGGCTCAAGGAAAGCCTCTGGAGCCTGGTGAGGGTGAAAAATGCCCCCCCCACCATTGTGCAGGCGGCTGACTAGGCCACGTCCACCATAGCCATGCCCACCCAGCAACAGGACAGGAAACCTGTTGCTAAAGGATCTGAAGCCCACCCCTGATGAAGATGTGTGAAGATATTCCTAGCCACAGTTGCCACTTACTCTGTGAGAATAATCTGTCAATCCAGAACTCAGATTAATAATGATTTTTGTCCAGTGAAAAACATCCCCATCCAGAACTGAAGGTGAAATTTTCCAGGAATCAAGAGGCTTCAGCACCCAAAAACTCTTAACTTGCCATACTGAGTCTAAGACTGTTTCTTCTGATCTATATCTTGACAATTTCCAGACAAGAGCTAGATACATATCCTATCTGACTTGTAATTGAGATATAAATATGGTGGTTGGGTGGACATTGGGATATTTGGTGGGAGATAGAGAGTGGACCATTTTCAGAGAACACATGGCTATTACAGTGGTGGGATTCAAATAATTTAACAACTGTTCTCTGCCCTAATGACCAGCTGGGTAGGCAAGGTTGGGTGGTCATGTGACTGGGTGGGTGTGGCCAACTTGATTCGTCTCACCCTTAGGAAGTTTCTCCTTAGTCCAACTCACAATAAAATAGCATAATAAAATAGCACTCTTCCAATATTTAGAATGGAATAGAATAATAGAGTTGGAAGAGCCCTTGGAGGTCTTCTAGTCCAACCCCCTGCTTAAGCAGGAAACCCTACACCACTTCAGACAAATGGTTATCCAATCTCTTCTTAAAAACTTCCAGTGTTGAAGAATTTACAACTTCTGGAGGCAAGTTGTTCCACTGATTAATTGTTCCAACGGTTAGAAAATGTGAGGAGCTCCTGCAAAAATGAGGGGGGGGTGTCAATCTATTTTCCAAAGCACCAAAAGGCATGACAAAAAACAATGGATGGAAACTAACCAAAGAGAGAACTAAGAAGGACTAAGAAGAAATTTCCTAAGGGTGAGACCAATCAACCAATGGCATAGCTTGCCTTCAGAAGTTGTGGGTGCTCCATTACATACAAGCAACACAGTTACAAGATATTTTGAAATCTTTACGGTCTAATAGTGTAAGTTAACTCTTAAATGCTGAAAATGCAGGATCAAAATACATAAGCATAGAAGCAACATTGCAACCCTGTTCCAAATTAATAACATCAATTCTACTAATTGGAATGTGTATTTAAAAAGACGTAAAACCTCTGACAAGAAATTCCTGCTCTGTATTAACATTTTTAAAACTCCTTACCTGGACTAAGCTTGTCAAGTTTTATTGTTTATTCAAGGCTGTGATGGCTGCATTCCTGCAGTGACCTACGGGACACCAACTTAGCTGACCTATGCTGATTTATTGATATATTTTTAAAAAAGAGTCTAAAGTAAAAACCAGAGAAGAACTTGAAAGGGATAGTGATATTTGTGAATAGTTTGCTTAGGTTCTCTTGACAGATTTAAATTGGGTAAGAATAATTTTCGCTTTTATGAATGAGAAAACTGATCTTGAAGCATGTTGATGAGCACACTATTACTAAGATGTACTGTATAACAACTTTTATTAGATCTATTGCAGGAGTGGGTTCTACTTACTTTTACTACTGGTTCGCAATGGGGCCATGCACGTGTGCTCGCTTTGCTCGCGCACAAATGCATGCGCAGAAGCATTTGGATGACGTCGGAGTCGGTGGGCGGAGCCTCCCACTGGTTTTACTACCAGTTCTATAGAACCGGTGCGAACCGGGGGGAACCCACCACTGATTTATTGGATGCAATATAATGCTTGATCAATAGGAGAATTTATGGAGTAAAAAGAAATTCCCATTAAATTAAAACATGAAAGAAGTTTTACAAGATGTTGTACTGTTTGCACTTAATAACTGATAAACTGTCAAAGATACATAAGAGTATGTGAAACATACGTTGGAAACGAAATCAGTCTGAAAGTAACTTTTACTATCATTGGTAAATATGCAAGAAAGCTAAGAAGCACTGGGATCTTTTACATATTTTAATCCAGATAGTTCTCAAATGAAGAGTGTACAACTAAAATCAGAGGTTTTTACTTCTTGGTTTACTGGATAAACAGATTGGGGGGAAAGTGGAATTTTGTTCTTATATATGATTAACAGCAGCGAGACCATTTTGGAAGTGCAGGGCACACATGGAGGCTCGGGGAGGGTGAAAAACAGGCCTACTGGAAGTTCGGGAAGGCTGAAAACGGACCAGTATCTTGCCTCCAGAGCATGGGGAAGTTGTTTTTATCCTCCCAGAGGCTCGAGGAAAGCCTCTGGAGCCTGGGGAGGGCAAAAATACCCACCCCCGCCATGGTGCAGGAGGCTGATTAGGCCATACCCACCATGGCCACACCCACCCAGCAACCGGGTAGAGAACCCCTTGATAAAATTTTTGAAGCCCACCCCAGAATAGAATAAAATAGAGAAGAGATGAGTGGTGTTTATGGGTTTTTAAACGTCTCTTATTGTATATTGTTCATATTGTCTTTGTTGTAAGCCCCCCAAAGTCCTCGGAGAGTTGGACGGCATAGAAATACGAATAATAAATAAGAGAAGAGAAGAGAAGAGAAGAGAAGAGAAGAGAAGAGAAGAGAAGAGAAGAGAAGAGAAGAGAAGAGAAGAGAAACAGATTTGGAAGGGACCTTGGAGTCTTCTGGTCCAAACCCCTGTGTGTGTGTGTGTGTGTGTGTGTGTGTGTGTGTGTGTGTGTGTGTGTATTATTCAATATAGAGTCACTGACTATAAACAGTTGACAGAATCAGGACATATAAAAAAGGTCTCCTGAATTTTACAGTGCCATAAAGGAACCTATTTGGCATTGCTAAAACCTTTGGGAAACTTTGAAGTGGTACTAGATATTATGGACCAAGATGGCACAAGACTAATAGACTACAGTATTTCCATCATCTTATAAACTCCTTCAGGGTGAGTTTGCTGTTTGGTGATTTCACTGGAGTTTTCTTGAAAATAATATGGGTGTGGTTTGCTACTGCTATCTTCTCAGTTGACACCAGAGTCTCCCTATAATCTCCCAATTACTTGACCTGACTAGCAGTGCTTTACCTACAAGCCCAAAAAGTCATCCAGATCCTGTCATTTCATGAGATGATAACCTGATAACTACACCATAATTATTTTAACAGAGTACACTATATGTATTTTTATTGCGTGATCTGCATTATTCTAAGGGACCACCAATTAACAAGGAAAATACAAACAAATCACCTCTCAAAACCTCAATCAAATCTATTTGCTATAATTATTTGACCACTCCAGAGACTTGAGTTCCTCAATAAGATATACTTGATTTGATGACTCATACATTATAACTTGAAAGTGCATCAAAACATTCAACTCTGAAGTAGTATCTTGTCCTTTAATGTCCCAGGACAAAGCTTCCAATTATTTAGCTTCACTTTATGGATAGACTTATAATGTACTATCATTATCTAGTAATTTTCAAAGGAAATAAGTTAATGAGGTCTAAGAAAAAGTGGGAGTTTATGCCTTAATTACCTGGTTCATAGATCAGAGTAATTATATTTCAACAGATTTCCATATATAATCTACAAGTAATTACTGCAGCTGCCAGCTGTTAAAATATTAAACTCAATGTACTCAAGAAAAGTTTTGAAAAAAAGTTTTTGACCCTTTG